AGCTCGTTCACGTGGACAAGTACGATTCCAAACAAGGAAAGACTTTTCAAAATTATTTGAGAGAAAAAAAAAGTATTTTCGTTATTTCGGTAAAAATTGTCGCACTTTTTTTCATACAATCTGACTGTACCAAACACTGTTTAGTCTATGAGGAGGGGAGGGCAGATGTTTTGCCTTGCTAGTGGTTATGTTGATACATCCCATGGCTTATCAGTTAAACGGGGAAAATAAAAGTATGCACTTCTTACAAGATCAAAGTAACGTAGCTAACATGCCATCTTATTGAGATAACTTGGATAACAAAACTGCCAGCAATTTTTTATGGCGTCTGCGCAATGTGAACTGCTTTAAAACAAAGAAAGGCTGCCGCTTTTCAAAGGTGTGTCTATCAATATAATCATTTTTTTTCTTGCCCTAATGTTATCGCAGGGTACTTTAGGATGGTGGAGTTTAAGAGCTGTTACCCAGACACAGAATTACAATTAAAACTACTATGCTTTTCCAGATTTTATGTTCAATTGTGATATTACTATTTTTGTAATATAATGGAGGTGAGGAGAAAGCTGTAGGAAATATACAACGTTTATTTAAGAATCTTTGAAAAAAAACGTCAAGGTGCCGTTTCTTAAGAATGGTTAAGATACGTTTCGGTCTGGAGCAAGATTGTTTTTCCCAGCCTCTGCCGAAATGGTCGCAATACGTTGGGAACCCGCATGGCTCTTAGGGTAGCAGCCTCTGGCACCGGACACTATTCCAGCCGCAGGGCACGAGCTCTTTCGATAGAATTCGCTGTTATGCTCGCGAGTAAGATCGCTCGTGCCATCTATTGGCTTGTTTTGGCACTCATTTCTTTGGGGATTTTCGAACACTTTGGCTTTATTTGTTTTTTATTAAAATTTACATATAGATTATATAAAATGTTAGAGGTAATTGTCTCTTAACATAACCATGCAAAAACCAAAGCGCCCATAAAAAAAAAAATAACGAACGCGAGATACATGACAAGAAGTGTTAGGGTGATATTTCTACGCACGCCAGGCATCGATTCAACCGATCCGAGACAGGCCAGTTTTTCGTTCTGTCGTTGATTTGACTCACGTAATGCGTCGAGTAAGATCATGGGCCGTATTTTTGACATCAACGTCACGTTTCTCGTAAACGGTCGTGAAGGCTAGAATCACTAGATGTAAGGATTTGAAGCCCTTGTTGTTCAGTGGTCAAATGCACAAGCTACAGAAATCTAGGAGATTTCGAGACGGGTGAGAATAAATCGGTACGAATAAATGAGGTTTTTGTGATATTATTTGGATGTAGTTGTAACGTTACACTGGCCGGACAGATGCGAATAATTGTCTCAGTGTGAGCTCTATGTTTTACATTTTGTTCCTATCACGCTTTGTCATTAGGAAACTCTATGTTTTTTGGTTTTTTTTTTCAGATGATGCGTATTTTTTTATTAAAAATGCTGTTGAACACAGCAGTTATTACCACGATGTGCACCTCCACTAATAGCATACACTTTCTTTTTATAGCGCGTCGTCAGATTAGTACCGATTAAAGCCTAGGTCTGGGGGGGGGGGGGGAGGGGGAGGGAGAGGGCGCAACAAAAACAGCACAAATGTTTACTATCTTGCGGTTTGCGTCTGGGTTTTTTCTACAAGTTAGACAGAAAAAAAATGTTTTTAAGGACTGCAGTATTTCCAGGGAGGTTGTTAAACTCGCAAACATGACGACACGAGAAGCCTTACATTTTCTTAGGAAAGCATGGTTTGACATTTTCTTCTTGAAAATTTTCTCACTGCATAAGGAAGGATGCTCGCGTGTAAGACCATAAAAAACAAAAGAGGAAAACAATTACGAGCACTGGTCATTACGGCGCACCTTGCCCCCCCCCCCCCCCCCAAAAAAAAAAAAAAAAAAAAAATCTGGGAATGACAATTTACGTGCGCCTGTATGACTTTAAAAATAGCCGCAAGTGGTGGCTTATTTCGGCGTTATTGCTTCAAACTACGCGTTGTCAACGCGGGCACGCCGCGCCGACGAACCATCCCTTAAAAAACGAGGTATGAGGTCTATAACGAAGACAGCTACAACCAGGTTTATGTATGCCTTCGGGAGTTAGGATTTCTTGATTTAAACGAAAAAAAAAAGGTGATATTTTATGAACTGTATGACGCGCGCTGCAATAAGAAAAAAAAAAAACGAGCAAAACATAACATTTTTTATGGGCTCCCGTCAAATATAGTTAATGCTTGCTACATATTGACAACAACAGCAAAAATTTGTTTACGGTATGAACTTTTTTTATTTTAATGTATGAAATACCGAGTTTCGTAATAAAGCAGGACGTTATTTTGGTTCACCTCTTTTGTGATTGCTATGTTATGTGGCTTTATGACATGATTGCCTCTTCTGAGCATGACACCCTCCACGGAACCATGTCTGCTCTCAGGCGAAGGTGAAGCCTTCAAAACCACCACATGTGGGTCTCTGATACTTAACATGGCTGGGCACTTCGCTCTTTTTTTTTATGTGTGTAGCAATGCGCTTTTTGTAAACCAAACATCACAGCTGTAAAAAAAAAAAAATCTACAGGTAATTTACAAACTTACACGAAGCTAGATGCTGGCATAATAACTCCAGTTTAATAAACAAATCGTATTTTTATTTTATTGTGACTGCGTCCGCAACGGTCCGAATAAAAGTGACATTTTCCGAACGACGACGAGCTGACACTTTACGCGACAATGGTCGATGTATTATACAGCATTGTAACGAGACCGGAACAATTCATCGCATGTTAGACAGCGATGACTAAAAATAGATAACAATAGAGGCATTACTGTAAATTGATTGCAAAAATATGTATCAATAATTCATTCTTATGTCAATAATAAATACGCTATGCTTCATGTGCAATGAAATTGGATGCATTACTTCAGCACCGCTTCTTGTATTTCAGCTACATTTCTCCTGTGTTAGGTTTTCCGTAAGACTTCATGTTCCTTTGTGTCGGGTTTATATTATTTTAAAATTCTAGTAAACTAAGATTTTTTTATCGCGTTTATTTACTACATTATTGGGAATAGCAGTTCCATACAATCCGGTGAGTTAGGAAATTTCTACAGAGCATTTATTAATTTGTTTTAATATTGACAAAATAGCAGCGCAATCAATGATTGAATTTAGGCGATTAAGGGTCTTTAAAGGTACTAAGGCGCCGCCAGAGTTTGGGGCATATGGCGACCAAATCAGCGCCGTTGACCAGGTGCCAGAGCCATACATACGGGGAGAGTTTGGCAGTCTTAAGAAGTCGCCGCCAGTCTCAAAACATTGGCGGCGCAGTCTGGCAACAACACCTCGACGCCGCTCGACGCGACCAGACCCGACCTGTCCGCCATATTGTGTTATAGAAAGTGAGCTGGGAAGTGGCTTGACGCGGCGACTCCGATGGAACACGTGTGTTTTTGACTGACTTCGTCGTTGCCACGCCCAAAAATGGGGTGCTGCAGCGCTGTGGGTTGTTCAAACACAAGGAAGAAAGGTTTCACGCTCTATCGGTTCCCCCAAGGAGAACGGAACGATGCGAGGCGACGCATCTGGGAAAGGAACGTCAGGCGTGACAAGTGGAAGCCAAACACGCACTCCCGAATCTGCCAGGTAAGCCCTTAAAATCTTTATCTTCACGGGGACAGACACTCGCTTTAGTCCGGCCAGCACATATAGAAGACCCAGCGCTAACTCGTAACTGTCGCTTCAATGACTCCGTCCGAAGCGCAGGTGCGAGCAATTTGACAAGGGGCTATTGCGCAGAATCTTGTTACGTTCTTTGCACGTAACGAGATTTCTAGGTGGTCGAAAGTAATCCCCAGTCCTTCAATGATTACTGGGGCGTGCCAGATGCTTTTTGTTGCGTCGGAACGTCTACCTCCTATTTTTACGTACGAAGTTGTCGTTTCGAAGCGTGCATGCATAGCGCAGGCACCCGTGCGATGAACGCCGATTTTGCAACCACGAACTCGCGATTGCAACATTTTCAGCGTACGCAACTTGAAGTGAAACAGATTATTGTTTATATTTCATTGCCTCCAGCTGAGGCCACTCTGTAGCGATTGGAAGTGTGAGCACGAAAGTGATTTCAACTGCGTTTGTCTCGAATTTTTTGTTGCAAATTCTCTCCCGTCCAGCTTATGCTGCGAGAATAGTTCTTCGGTGTTGGATCGGTGTGTTCGACGCATAGGTAGTTCGTCACTGGCAGCAAGTTCGGTGGGGAGTTTCAGTCAACTGGAATCGACCTAACCAGTGCCCGGCCTAACACCTGTGACTTCCTATTTACTAGTGGTTACATTGCTATGTAGGTTTTGAAATTATATTAAATTATTCTTTTTTAGGTGCATTTTGACGAAGATCAATTCGAGAGAGGCCGGCAGGATGGAAAAATTTTTTTGAAGTCATCTGCCATTCCAACATTGTTCCCGCACTCAAAGCAGAAAAAAGAGCGCAAGCCACCAAAACCAAGAGAGGTAATATCCCAAACTAAGTTCTCATTCTGGTTTGTTGTCTAGGTAATATGTCATATCTTGAGCACCAGCAGCTTGTAAAAATAACCTGAAAATTATATTTATAACCTGAGGGAGGTCTATATCCTAACTATTGTGCAACTCAATACCGTTGTTTTCAACACTAATAATTGCACCAATTCCTCCTGTACTATGCTTCCTCTGCATTGGAGCCATTTGCTGTATTTTAATGCCTTGCTCTGTGAATCCATTGGGAGTGAGTATTTCTTCCACTGCAGTAATTTCAATAACCACATGACATATTTTTCCATTTGTTTAATTGTACTACAGCCATTGCCAGCCAAGAGTCATGTCCGAGCTAAAGACACAGAAGCGTCTATCTCCTTGCTGACTTGCCCTGCGGTCCCGGCTCCAGTAAGTGTTTTAATCGTAGCTGCAGGCAGTTCATCGTATTTTGAACGCTTGCAAGACACTCGTTCAAGCTAACACTCAATTATTACGTTTCTGCAGCTAACCTACAGCACGCAAGAAGATCAGCAGGACGACTGCCATCGCCAACATAGTGATCCACGCTTGCTGGGAGCTTCGTCTGCAGTGAACGGTGTTGCACAAGATACAGTGAGTGCGGAAGAAGCTTGCTCTTAGGTTTTGCGTGATCGAGCTAAAACAGTTGCTTCACTGCTGACCCATTGTCGCTCTATTGCAGGCTGTATTCAGTGGTCGTCTTCCCGGCACACCGCAGCTCGTGCTACCCAACAACAGTATGGAGATCGAAGACTCACAAGCATCCCTCTCCTCGCTGATTTGCCCCGCTGTCCCGGCTCCAGTAAGTGTTTTAATCGTAGCTGTAGGCAGTTCATCGTATTTTGAACGCTTACAAGACACTCATCCGAGCTAACACTCGATTATTAAGTTTCTTCAGCTCACCGACAGCACGCAAGAAGACCAGCAGGACGGCTGCCATCACCAAAATGGTGATCCAAGCTTGCTGGGAGCTTCGTCTGCAGTGAACGGTGTTGCAGGAGATACGGTGAGTGCGGAAGAAGCTTGCTCTTATGGCGAATTCCACTGGTCGTTTTGGAGCGCGCAAGGATCGACTTTTCTGGAGCGAGCCTATTTCACTGGGCGATCGGGATCGAGACGGACATGTTCCACTGGTCGTTTTGGATTGGCTCCCGCTCCAGATCTCGATCTGGATCCGAGAAAAGTCGCTCTGACTTTTTCGGGGGATTCAACCGGAAGCCAGCCGGGCCAGCCCAAGGCGCAAACACATGACTTCCTTTCTCGCGGAACATCTCGCCTGATCTTGCCTCAGAATTCATAACGGCCGCTTGCGTACCCTTTGGCTCGACAGCCGGTTCGCTTTCCAGGAAGGAGGAGAGAAGGTTTGGCCGCGCTACGGGCATTCCGGCAATCTTTGCTAGAAGCTCCCGAGCCATTCCTGCCGCTCGTGAGTCGAACACGTGTTAATTCCGGTTCAGACACTTGCGTTTAAGTGCGTTTGACTGTGTTGCGTCGAGAACCGAAAGAGAGTCACCGGCACATCTGTGCTTCGTATGAAGCGTGGAATCCAATTCAAGGAACGTCTTGGCACGCGATATAAGCAGCAGGGATCTCCTGGTTTCTCGCAGCCGCATCGCAGTCAAACGCAACTGTCTGAACCAGGCTTTAGCGCCGCGATTGCGAAAACGTCTTCGAAACGACCGCGGAAATGGGATTCCCGGGCAGTTGAATGACGGGAAGCCATCCGCCGATCCCGGAGCAGTGATCATGTTCCACTGGGGATCCGTAGGTGGCGAGACCCCGTTCGGATCGTGTGCTCCATTCCGGATCTGGTCAACTGATACCGGCGCGCTCCAAAACGCCCAGTGGAATTCGCCATTAGGTTTTGCGTGATCGAGCTAAAACAGTTGCTTCACTGCTGACCCATTGTTGTCGCTCCATTGCAGGCTGTATTCAGTGGTCATCTTCCCCGCACACCGCAGCTTGTGTTGCCCAACAGTATGGAGATCGAAGACGCACAAACGTTGCTCTCCTCGCTGACTTGCCCCGTGGTCCCGGCTCCAGTAAGTGTTTTAATCGTAGCTGCAGGCAGTTCATCGTATTTTGAACGCTTGCAAGACACTCTATCGAGCTAACACTCGATTATTATGTCTCTTCAGCTCACCGACAGCACACAACAAGATCAACAGGACGACTGCCATCACCAAAATGGTGATCCACGCTTGCTGGGAGCCTCGTCTGCAGTGAACGGTGTTGCACGAGATACAGTGAGTGCGGAAGAAGCTTGCTCTTAGGTTTTGCGTGATCGAGCTAAAACAGTTGCTTCACTGCTGACCAATTGTCGCTCCATTGCAGGCTGTATTCAGTGGTCATCTTCCCCGCGCACCGCAGCCCGTGCTACCCAACAATAGTATGGAGACCGAAGATGCACAAGCGTCGCTCTCCTCGCTGACTTGCCCCGCTGTCCCAGCTCCAGTAAGTGTTTTAATCGTAGCTGCAGGCAGTTCATCATATTTTGAACGCTTGCAAGACACTCATTCAAGCTAACACTCGATTATTACGTTTCTTCAGCTCACCGGCGGCACGCAAGAAGATCAACAGGACGACTGTCATCACCAATATGGCGATCCACGTTTGCTGGGAGCTTCGTCTGCAGTGAACGGTGTTGCACGAGATACGGTGAGTGCGGAAGACGCTTGCTCTTAGGTTTTGCGTGATCGAGCTAAAACAGTTGCTTCACTGCTGACCGATTGTCGCTCCATTGCAGGCTGTATTCAGTGGTCATCTTCCCCGCACACCGCAGCCCGTTTTACCCAACGACAGTATGGAAATCGAAGACGCACAGGCGTCGCTCTCCTCGCTGACTTGCCCCGTGGTCCCGGCTCCAGTAAGTGTTTTAATCGTAGCTGCAGGCAGTTGATCGTATTTTGAGCGCTTGCAAGACACTCATTCGAGCTAACACTCGGTTATTACGTCTCTTCAGCTCACCGACCCCACGCTAGAGGATCTGCTGGACGACTGCCACCTCCAAAATGATAGTCCCAACTCATTCAGCACATTCCAGGTGGGACAGTGTGAGGTAAGTTAAAATTTATATAAACATCAAGATGGCAGATGTATGTCAATTAGCACTTTAAACCACACGATGAGGTACTGTCGGACATCGCAAATCAATAAGTAGTGTCCCATAAAGTTAAAAAAAAAGTACTTTTCGGTTGTGGTTCAACTTCTCATGGCCTGGGGCAGTGTCGATCATGTCGTAGTAAGCATGGTTAATGCAGTGACGTGATTGCTGCGCCGACGTGCCTACCCTGCTACATTTTGCCAGAATGTGCGGAATCTGTGCCAACCTTGTGCCACAACAACTTTTCACTTTAATAATACTACCAATATAATAAATGAGGCACCGCTACACAACCGTATTGTTACGGTGGGCTTATGCGAATTTACAAATCTTTCGATTGTCGCCTCAAATTACATGATACCTCTGTATGAAACATTGACAGTTCCTGGAACTTTTAAAACATTTCTTATGCTCGTCTGTTCTGGCTGGATACAGCTAGCATCGTTGAGTGCTCTTGTCATCGTGTACTGCAGTGAAGTGACAACAGTGTTTTAAGCGTCGCAATTTTGCGTATCTTGCTTCGCCAAAGTGCACCCGTGTGCTGAGGGGAAAATGCTCCTCCCGAGCGAGACGCTATACACCGTTTCTGAATAAAAATGACTAGTAAATATGGTTAACTGCACTAATTTAACAATATTTTTTTTCCACATTTACATATTCGAGATGCATCAAGGATGCTTGACTATTGTGAGAACTCTTTTATGAACTGCTTTTTATGTTTATTTTTTATGTCAACTGTCATTTAGTTGTTACCTTATATGGGTTCCATCCGTTCGATGGCACAGTAAATATACAGTATATTGAAACTAAATTAGTTGAAGCAGTAAGTGCAAGAATAACTTAAACAAAATTTGCATCTTTTTTAAAAGCTTTGTTTTCTATCTTATTTAAGAACAGCAGTTTTATTACAACATATAGAACTCAAAGAAAGCATTAATTTGGGTGCACGAAATGATTACATTCTAACATTATTTCAGTGGGATATACTATTTGGTTTGATTTCATACCTAAACGCCATGCAGAGCAGTCCATACTGCATTCGTCAATCACCATCTTGTTACCGTACCTTGTGATTCTACGCTCAATTAAACGGCTAGACAGGGAATTAAACCTGCCATGCTGCTGATGCAATGAAAAGGTTGCGGAGAAGCAGGAAGGCAAAGTAGACAAATCCATAAATCTTAACATGATATTCGACTTGGAATGAATGAAAATATGCTCCAGGAGCACTTTTTGCGGCTCCAAAACTGACTTTTGACTAGTCCAAGAGGTACTCCAAAATTACTCAGACCAATCACATCACTATTAATGTATTATGAGGGTTACAGAGAACCATGCACTAGCTGGCGGAGCGTTTGGCAACTTTTCTACTTGACCTTCCCTTTGATTGCTCGACATTCAGGTGGACGATGTGTGAGGCAATGTTTAGAGCCCATATTTTTTTGTGCACTCATACCCACCATGAAAAGCCAACCATGCACCCAAGCGTCACAGGGTAGTACTTACGAGGCATTTTAATAGTGTTTGCCTATATATGCTACTAAAGTTGTTATATTTTTGCTGCAACCAACGATTCAGTTACAATAATCTAGCACTTTCATATGTTGCAGGAAGTGACCCAGCTGAAGCAGAGGGTGGCAGAACTAGACCAGAAGGTAGCAGAGCACAAGAGGAAGGTTAACAACTTGCAGAAGCGGAACAATGTACTTCTCCGAGAAAAGAAAAATACTGCTGAAGGCCTACAGACTGTCTTTACAGAAGACCAGATACGTGCTCTGGGTAGAAAATCCAACTGCGGAAGCCCATGGTCATCTGCTACAATAAAGAAGTCACTGCAGCTGCACTTCGCCTGTGGGTCGACGGGTTACAATCTTCTTCTGTCACAAGGACAACCCCTTCCAGCAGAACGCACTTTGCGAGGTCATATTCAAGGTATTAAGTTTGAGCCTGGAGTTCTCTGCGAAGTATTTGACCTCATGAAATGCAAGGTGGCTGCCTTTAAGCCCCAGGAGAGAAAATGTGTCCTGATGCTAGATGAGATGCAGCTCCAGGACAAGCTGGAGTACGATGCGAGTAATCAGAGTATTTGTGGCTCAACAACATTGGGAAATGGAGAAGCAGAATCTCGTGCTCCAAAGTGCACTACTCTTTCAGAAACTCAAGCAGCGTCTTGTTCTCAAAATTCTGCTCCAACTAACCAAGTACCTTGTGCCAAGAAGCCTGCTCTAGTTTTGGCCACTCACTGTTTAGTGTTCATGATTGGAGGTGTGTCCACCCGGTGGAAGCAGGTCGTGGCTTACCACTTTACTGGTGCTTCATTCAGCGGAAGCGTATGTGCGAACATCTTAAAGGACATTGTTAGACGGTGTTCAGAGATAGGATTAGACGTCATTGCTGTGACGAGCGACATGGGGGCAGGAAACAGGGCCATGTGGAAAGATTTGAATATAATTGCAGGCAAGCACTCCCAGGTTTCTTGCAGTATGCCCCACCCAGACAATCCCTCAAAGGTCATTCATTTCCTTGCCGACGTTCCACATATTATCAAAAATCTGAGAAACCACCTCTGCCGCCTTCAGAAAATTGTTCTCCCTCAAGATGTTGTGGATAAGTTCAACCTGCCATCAGATGTGGTCCACCTGTGGCCCGTGAAGGAGCTGATGTCCCACGAAAGAGGAAAAGCATTCAAGCTCGCACCCCACCTCACAGATACCCACTTGTCACAGGGTCACTTCGACAAGATGAAGGTGTGCTATGCAGTTGACTTGATGAGTCATAAGACGGCATGTGCCATCGAAGAACTGGTAAAGGAACATGTAATCAGTTCCCAAGCACTGTCGACGGCATGGTTTTTTAGGACCGTCAACAAATGGTTCGACCTGATGTGCAGCAGACACCCCGGCATAGCATTCAGCTTGGCCAAGCCCGAAAAACATGATGAGGCTGTCGCATTTTTGGAATTCTTTATGGACATGTTCCAGAGAGTGAAGATTGGAGATGGTGTGTGGAAGCCGGTGCAGACAGGCGTGCTGCTCAGCACGAGCAGTATCTTGGCCCTACAAAACACCCTTCTGCATGAAGATAACTATACATTTGTACTGACTAGCCGCTTTACACAAGACAGCTTAGAAAATTTGTTCTCTGTGGTAAGGGGAAAGAATCCCATTCCAACCCCATATCAGTGCAAGGTTGCCCTTCGGATTATCAGCGTGTCTCAATACTTGAAGGCACCAGCACACAGCAGTTACTCCATCGACGACGGAGCATTCTTCCTGGCAGACTACAGATCTTCCGTTCCTCAAGAGGTGCAGGAGGTGGTGGCAGGCACGGGGAAAGCTGACCCAGATGAGGATCTTGTGATGCCGAGCACTGAGGAGAGTGCATTTGTTTACATGTCAGGCTACCTCGCAGCGTCAGTCCTGAAAAACAATGTCACTTGTTCAGATTGCAGAAGTGCTACAGTAGACCCCGGAAACAATGATAAAGCAGTGGGTTTCACGCTGTCGAAGTGTTTCAAGGAAGATGCCTTGACTGTACCTAGTAAGAAACTTGTTTCTCTTTACCATGTCTGCGAGACAGTGTTCCGCCGGAATGAAGATGTGCTTCACGAACCGAGAGGCTGCACTGACAACCTTGTAGAAAAAATCACAAAAGCAGCTGCAGCTGTTCACTTCCCGGACTGTCATCCGATCAAGAGGCATTTGATTAGAAGATTTGTCGTGATGCGGATCCGAATTTTTCTTAAGGAGCTGAGCAGGAGCCAGCATCAAAAACAAAAGAAGGCCTTAGAGGCAAGGAAGTTTGCGAGTGCGTCAACTGCTAGGAAGTAGATCTGTTTGTCCTCGTGCCTTTTTGTAACGATGTAGATGGGAACTTTTTTTTATGAAAGATTGTGGGGAAAATTAGAAGTGCACTGCCATGTGCCTATGTTAGAATCAACATTTTACTATTTCCTTCTGTTTTTTTTTTTTTTTATTCTACAGATTTTTTCTTATTCTGCTGAGCCACACCTTTACCTTTAAGGAGGCTGAAAGGCTGGCTTGAATATGCCAAGTAGCGCTTTGTATCATTTTAAATGTTCAGATTATTTTGATTTCCCATTTTTGATGTCATGTTTTGTCATTTTTACTTGTGTTGTTTATTGCTGTGTATTATACTTGTTTGCTGGCCTGTATATTAAATAGATGTAGTAGAGATGCGACTGCAGAAGTTCCTTTATATATCCATGTGAAGTGCACAGTGCTCATGATTAAAATGCTCACATTCTCATGGTGCTCATGACCAAAATTGTGGGGGGGCTGTACTTTTGCTAACTTTTCTATTTTCCACTCAAATGATACATGATGTATTTTGCCACAGTACACCATTCAGGATTGTATTAAAGGGCAACCCGCTATTTGGACAGAACATGTTAGCGAGGAGTGGCATGTTGGTAGTCGGGCATTCCGGTAATTAAACAGAATCAGCTGGCGCTTTCGGGAGCCGTTATGAGCTGGCTAAAAGAGGCAGTGATAAAGCGTGACTTTAAAAATCCATGGTCCTAGAGCAGTGGTTCTCAACCATTGATGCTTCGCGGACCCCTTGAAGATCGGCGGAGATGGAAAACTCCGCTCGCGGTAAGGGGACGGGCAAGGTGTAGGTTAATTATGATAGTGATTTAATAAATTGGTATAAATAAGGGCTAGTGGGAAGTAGTCTTCTCTTACTGACATATAGACGAGAAAACTGACCCGAAAATTGCAACATTTCTTCTCAATCTGAAAAAAAACTTTTATTGCCGGGCTTAACTGATGAGGCTGGGCTTCGCGGACCCCTAGAATGCCTTCCCGGACCCTTATTTGAGAACCACTGTCCTAGAACTTTTGATGACATCGCACCCTATAAACGATCAAGCGGCCGTGGGATACTTTTAATCGAGACGCCCCTGCTGGTGTTGGTGGAGACTCGCAATTAAAGCCTCGCGAACCGCGAGCTCGGAAGTTCGCAGATTTCTACTGCAAGTTGCATTATTAAAAACCGTGGAAATTGAACGGTTTCGTCAATGACACAGGATTCGTTGTGTTCACAGATTTTGTATAGTTAAACTTGTAGAGCGATTTTCCAACTTTTATTTTTAGTTTTCGGCTGCCTGTATTTAAGCTCGATGAATTTTTAAAGCGACAATTTTCAATGGAACGGCACGATATGCGTAAAACAAACTCGATCCTAGCTCGTGTACAAGCCGGGACAAAAAGAAAACAAACTTAAACGACGCCCGCCGCTCGCGTAAATGAACAGCCAAAAAGAAAACAGGCAAACGACGCCCACCGCTTGCGTGCACGATCAGTGAAAAAGAGACCCTGAGTTTCGATTCTAAAATTGCCTGCCCGTCACACATCAGCGAATCACCGTATTCAGTAAAAACTCTCATCGAAAACGTAATTTTCTAGTCCCATTTTAAATTTTATGCTAGGATCTGACAAGTAAAAGACGTATTTGAGGTAAGCTTCTAGTTAATTGTCCATGGCACATCAGAGTATGCATTAAACGGTGGTCACCGGCCGCGTTCGCGATCGCACTCGGAGATCTCGAACGCCGGGATGTTAATGTTAAAAAGACTCTGACCGTTAGCAGACGTTGGACAGGGTGCTAAGCTTCCCTCATAATGTCAAACAATTCACAGAATCTTTTGAATGGACAATATACAGCACGACTCTTAGTTTTCTTCGCGTACACCGCGCACTACCTGCGTGCAAACCAGCGCGCGCCCCTTCCAAAATAACACAATATGGCGGACGCTTCTCCGGCGGAGAGTCGGCTAGATCTGGCGGGGAGTCAGCCGCGTCAGTCGGCCAAACTCTCCCCGTATGTATGGCTCTGCCAGGTGCTAACATGCAGCGCCAGCACCCCAGAGTATCACGGCGCCTGATACCCGCAATGGGAGGTGACTTCGGCTCGTAGCGCCGTCTGCCAAGAAGTGCACAAACCATCCTTCACGATAGAGTTTAGTTCAGTCCCTAGGTACCAGATGCCGCCACATCTACCCTTTCTTCGGCCGTCCTCCAACGCGCTGTTTTTAAATATACAAAATATACAATATAGTGGCATCGAAAATATGACGGAAATAATCCCTCGAGGAGGGGAACAAGAGGGTCAAAGGACAAACGCAAATCTCAAAACACAGTTAGGTTACTGGTGCGCGACCGAAAAAATCCGCCTGGTCCGGGTATCGAACACGGGACCTCCCCATTTCCAGTGTAGCGCTCTACCAACTGAGCTAACCAGAGGTTAGACGTCAGTAGAGCGAACAGGTTTTATCAGCTGCCACCAGTCTAACACCAAAAAGGGTGAAACGCTTGCATTTGAAGGTTATGATTATATTGCGATTAAATGCAGATGTTCAAGCGGAACAAGAGGGACATTTGTCCCTCTCGTTTCCCTTCTCCGGGGATTATTTTCGTCATGCTTGTCCAGCTCGTTGCACCTTCCAGCTCGTTGCACCTTTGCATTCAATTGCATTATAATCGAAAATATTGCGGGGTACTACAGATATTCACGTTCAAGCAGCAAATGGATGGTGCTAAAATGCTTAAAAATTGTGGCAATGTGTGTTTCAGCGCCGTATAACCATGGCGTTATGACTGCAAGTTGGCATAGTAGAATCTGATTCACATAAAAATGTTACGACAAAAAAAATATAAAAAAACGGGGTCCCTTAGCTGGTCAACGAAACATAAAAGACCAGCGGAGTGCTTGGCCTCGCTAGAGTAAGTGCATATGCCAGGAGTGGCCAAACCACGGCTCGCGAGCCGCATGCGGCTCTTTGCTGGTCCAAGTGCGGCTCGCGGATCCCTCGTAAATGGATCCCCCCCCCCCCCCCCCCCCCGCCCGCCCCTTTCCGCGTTTCCCCAGGAAAAAAAGAAGGGATTTCCGGCAGAATAAAGGACGGTTGGCGGTTTGGCTACTTTATTACGTATTACTTTATTACGTATGAGTGCACAAGGCTGTACTGGTCATACAGCCTTGTGCACTCATACGTACAGTCAGACTCTGAACAAAATTTAAAATTGCCCCCCCCCCCCCCCCCCTCTTGCGGCTCTTAGAAGTTTCGTGGTTTCGTTTGCGGCTCTTAGGCCGGGTCAGCCTGGCCACCCCTGGCATATGCTATTCTTAAGGAGCATTTACGGTTGGTCTATCGTATACAGCTAGCATATGAAGGTACTATTGCGTAGAGTAGCCATATTGCTCCG